GGTTAATGTAAAATGTTTTAGAATAATTTTCTTTAGTATTGCATGGAATGTTGGCATCGCTGACAAGTCTGGTAATTTTGGCCATCTCTAATTGCCCTTTGGCTCTCTAAGTAGTTTCAGGGGTCAGTTAATGTCAGCCACCTTACTGTTGATATGGAGTCACATACAGACCAGACCAGACCAGATAAGGATGACCGTTTCCCTTCCTTTAAAGGACATTAATAAACCTGATGGATTTTTGACCACAATTGACACTTGTTTCGTGGTCACAATTGGACTAGCCTTTTATTCCACATTTTTGAGTTAAATTTAAATTTTGCCATCTGCTATAGTGAAATTCAAGCTGTTGTTCCCAGAACATTAGTCTGGGATTCCGAGTACCAATCTCGTAATGTTACAACAATGGCCCTACCTGCCACGTTATTGGATCTGAACCACTCCTTGATCTAACAGATACATACGTTGAATGCTTGATTGATCAGCATGTCTGTTAAGCTCACATAGCAAACATAAAATTGATACTTCTCAATGGCTGTAATATAACAGCAAATTCTGGTCCTTGTTTTAAAACCTCAGAAGTGACTTTTCAGGATAATGCCTCGATCTCATTTTCTTCTGTCGCAATGATTTCTGATGTCTTTCCCTCTTATCCTTGGGATGCTAATGTCTTGCCATACTAGACTATGGTTTGCTCTGGCTGATGTAATTCAATTCAGGTTACATCATTGCTTCCCCATGACCACGAGATGGCTCATCCAACTAACATGATTGATGTAGAGTTACATTGGGCCAGTCTCTGGATGGTTGGAGATGAGCAGTACTTCAGATGATGCACAACAAGACTGCTTGGATATCCTGACACCACCTACATGGGAATTGCCAGAGAAGATTGAACAATTTCATTTCTCTGGGATGCTCTATTAATGTTTATAACTGAATTAGGGTTGGCGACTTCAACAGTTCTGATTTACTTACCTGCCGAAAAATGTTAGAAAGCAAAATCTTAATATAACTAAAGAGTTATGATCCAAGTGACCACTTGCTGACTCTTCCCCCACCCCCAACCTGACTACCCTTCTGATAGACTCAATCGCCTTGTCCTCGTGCCAGCTGTACCTTCACACTGTAGCTTTTCAAAGAAACTTTGAGACATTGAAACTCCTGTTGGAATATGGCAGCTACTGCCTTAAAAAGGTGCTGTCACTTAGCACAGCTCTTCCTGAGGATTCCTGCTCTGAGTCAGTTGTGAAAGATCCTCAATTTGAAAATTGCTCAGAAAAATCAAAGTAAATGAAGTGTATTTATTCTGTTTTCTTCCTTGGGCAGAAAATAGTGTTACAAATCTGATTGGAAGATCAGAATTTTTTTTTTTTTTTTTTTGCAACTTTGTGCACTTGTGCATGTTGCTGTTGACTTTCCTCATCTCCACCATTGTTGAGGTGCAAAAAAATATATTTTTCCAGCATTTACATAAAGAACAGAAATACATGCTAAATGGCATAAACAACATTGATGTCCCTTTTGAGTTTTGCTGCTTGGTTTTATTGCTAGTTTCGTATCAAATGAGTTAACAAAGTTATGCATAAAAATAGCAACGAAAATACACTGATTTCTACAACTGAATATGTTTTTGCTTCCAAGAATGCACAGCTGCACTCTGAAGTAGTGGAATCCTCTCCCCCACTTGGTGAAAAGTCCCAGACCAGCTCTGGTCTTTTCTCTGATGATGACGACTCTCAGGTAAGGGAAGTGACCTCAGATTCCAGTGTCTTTGACATGATATCAACTATGCAGGTCTGTAGACCCAAACAGCTTCTGATCATTCCAGGATAATGCTACCTACATGTACGTTTCTGTTCTCAGTTTCCCTGAAACAATGTTTTAAAGCAAAGATTCATATAAATCATTTGATTTATATAATGTAAGATGAAATTCTGAATCCTGCAGCAGCTGTCTGTGTAGCATGTACCAAATACTGTAGTGTTCTATAAATAACATTAAGCTAGGTACGGAAGGTTACTGTGTATCGAGAATAATCAATTCAATTCACTCTTTTTTTTTTGTTTCTGAATGAACTTTGTTACTTTGGGATGAATGAAATATGGGATTTGATAGCTGTTTTTACTCCTGACCTCCCCAGCCCCACCGACTTGCCCCATTTTTTCTGTGTATGGTTCCAGAAGGTCTGGTTATCCATCTGACCAAACTCTTGATGGTAAGTGTCAGCAACCTCTTTTCAATAAACATCCCACCAGCAGCATTCCAAGAATGGCAGATACTGCTCTGGTTTTACCTGAAGAGTCTCCAGTGGTTACTGGGCTGCTGTCAGATTCAAGACCCTGCCCGACGATCCCCCTGCCCGACGATGAGCAGGGATCAAATTTTGGTACAATAAAGGTTCAATAATTCTTTTTGTGTTATGTTTTTCATTCATTCTTTGGATGAAATTATTATTGAGCTGGAAAGGACGCACAAGAGTTCTTTTGTGCAGGCACTGTCTCTTAACAGGATACTTACCTGCCTCAAATTCCTTCTTGACCATAACAGGACTTATTCTCTACAAACAAGGACACAAAAAGACACCAGTCAAAGCAATCCTTAGGTCAGAATGCATCCAATCAGAATCCAATCTCGTTCTTCGATGATGATGAGGTAAAATAATTCTTGTTAATTCTGTAATTTTAAAAAAGGTTTTTTATAATAACTAATTTACCAATAATCATTCCTCTAATATTAAGCAACCGTAGAGACCGAAGTAGCACTTTTTTAGTTGAATAATCTCTGGAGCTACTGGGAAGGGAATTACAAGAGCAAACTTGGGAGTTAACTGTCATTTTCAACCCTAAGATCAAGACCCACCATCTACAAATCTGACTCTACTTTAATTCCATGACATAAAGGGAGCAAGGTTATTATTGTCAATATTTTTGTGTTTTACTTTGTTGCTAATTCACCATCATTTCCCTGACCTGTTGTTTTCTGTAGCTCTCACCTTCTGTCTGACTTTTTCTCTTTCCAACCTGTCATGGCAGATTTTCTGTACTGTTGGGAAGAGATTGGGAAAATGATTATATAGGACTTGGTATGCAACAGAGATTGACCTAGGGAGAAAGAAAAGTTCTTTATCACAGGTAGCTCAGCTACTCAGATTTTTTTCTGTGATTTGTATGTCGTCAATTTCTAAACTAATTGGGCAATCTGCTGTGAATGCTGAATGGAACAACCCTGGTTGCCAGTCATGACAATGAAATCATTTTTTTACTTCTATTCTGCAAAGTTTACCTCACCTAATGTTTACAAGCATTTGAACATACGAATTTGGAACAAGAGTAGGCTACTACTGATCTTTCATCTCCCTGTTTAACAAGAACCTGTCTACATCTGCCTTAAAAAAAAAAAAAAAAAAAAAAAAAAATTCAAGGACTCTGTTTCCATCACTTTAAGAAGAGAATTCCAAAGCCTTATGACCCTCTGGGAGATGAAAGAAATACCTAATATATTTTTTAATGGGTGACCCTGGCTTTTAAACAGTTTCAGGTTGTAGATTTGCCCATAAGGCAAAACGTCCTCTCCTCACCTACACTGTCAAAGACCCCTTAGGATTTTATCTTTTTCAATATCTGAACATTCAGGCCTGGCCTGATGAGTGGTTAGTACTTAGCAACATAAATCTTAGACAATGGCCATCTCCAGCAAGACAGAATCTAATCATCTGCCCTTGACATTCTATGGTATTACTGTCCCTGAGTGCCCCAACATTGTCAATCTGGGGTTACCATTGACTGGAAACTGAACTGGACCAGCCATCTAAACACTACGACTAAGTGCAGATCAGAGGCTAAGAATTCTGTCACAACAAATTCCTGTCAATATATTCAGTAAGTATTTAGCTTGTGTGTGTGTGTGAACGATTGGTGTTTGTCTGGGAACGTTGAAGGATTTTGGCCCCTCTCATTTTGAATCTGGTGCTAGCTCCTGTTTGTGCTGAATTTTATAGGGTGATCTCTTCAGTTCCGCTCCATTGAAGGATGTTTCTGCAACAAAGAAATTGCAGCAACTGCATGACCCTAAAGCTGCAACTACGGGATCAAAATCTACAGCTTTGTTTGACAGTGATGATAAGGTCAGGAGTTTGGAAATGTTATGTATGCTTTTATTCAGTTTCCATTTATTCCTGAAAGCTTTCCTCACCAGTAAGAAGCATTAAAACTTCTCATCATATCAGATCCATTATTGAGACTGCCTACTTCCACTGAATATTGTCCATCCTGTACCGACTACTGCTGAAACTTCTATTGCACTTTTGCCCTCAGAATCCTCCAGTCTCCGGTGCCTTTTTCACTGTTCCCCAAAATTTTTATCCCTCTTAACCAGTTCACCCAGAGCTACTCCTAAAGCCTAATGTATCTACCATTGTATCCCTGTTTCAGCTGAACAAAAAACTTTGGGGACGGCCATTCTCTGATGCATTAGCTCATGGCAATGCCTTAACCAATCAGCGTCAACTTACCTGGCTTGAATTTAAACAAAAGATTGGGGTTAACTATTTCCTGGTGCATCCTTCATGACAATCCCTCTACCAATTAGAATCCACTCACCAACTAATCAGCATCCTCTTCTCAAGCAGCATATATGGTTATTCCCTTTGAGATATTATATTCTTGCGATTCTGTCCTGATGATCAAAAGACGAAATGCTCTGACAATGATACTTGTGCCTTTTTGTTTGCAGTTCTTCAGCACTTTAATTTTACAACTTTGATCCTTGAGTTCCTCTGCAGTTCCTATCTGTGATTTCTCCAACTGCATTCTGAGTTTCTCTTCCAGCTGTTATGTGATGAGGATTCCCTAATCTGTTGAACGTGTCAGATTTTTAAAGTTACTCCTGCCTCAGATATGGGTACTACTAACCAATCTAGCATTTGTTGCCTGTATCTAATTGCATTTCGAACTGAGTGGTTTGCTAGACCATTTCGTAGAATGTTAAGAGTCCACCTTATTGCTGTTGTCTAGGTGTCACTTGGAGGCCAGACCTGGGTAAACATGCGGCATTCACTCTCTTCATAGCTTTTGTGAGCCAGATGGGTTTTACAGCAAGCTTAGTCATTAGGAGATGGAGGGTAGTGGGGGAAGGATGCTTTTTTGGAATGGAGGGTTGTGACTCCACAGGGATCAGTATTGGGACCTCTGCTGTTTATGTTCTGCATAAATGATTTGGAGGAAATTTGTGGCTGGTCTACTTAGTAAGTTGTGGATGATACAAAGATTGGTGGAGTTGTGGATAGTGAGGAGGATTGTCAGAGGATACTGCAGGTTAAAGATCAGTTGGAGGCGTGGTCAGAAAAAATGGCAGATGGAGTTTAATCTGGACAAATATGAGATGATGCATTTTGGAAGGCCAAGTACAGATGGAAATGATTGCAGTGAATGGCCACGCACTTTGGAGTATTGATATGCAGAGGGATCTGGATGTGCAGTTCTACAGATCACTTGAAGGTGGCAGCACAGGTAGACAAGATAGCCAAAAGGCTCATGGCATGGTTGCCTTCATTAGAAGGGGCATTGAGTATAAGGATAAACAAGTTATGCTGCAATTTATAGAACTTTAGGTAGACCTCACTTGAAATATTGGGTACAATTCTGGTTGTCACACTATCAGAAAGATTTGGATGTTTTGGAGTGGGTACAGAATAGGTTTACTAGGATGTTGCCTGGTATGGGGGATTTTAGCTATGAAGAAAGGGTTAAACATACAGGGTTTGTGTTCGCTGGAATGCAGGAAGTTGAGGGACAACCTGATAGAAGTTTATAGGATTGTGAATGACATGGATAGAGTGGCAAGGATGAGACTTTTTCTCAGGTGGAGGGGTCAATTACTAGGGGACACAGGTTCAAGGTGCAGGGTTGGGGGGGGCTAGTTTAAAAGAGATGTGTAAGGCAGGTTTTTCTCACAAAGGGTGGTGAGTGCCTGTAATGCGCTGCCAGAGGAAGTGGTGGAAGCATTCAAGAAGCACCTGGATTAATACATGAATAGGAAGGGAATAGAGGAATATGGGCCAAATGCTGGCAAATGGGGCTAGGTCAGATTGGAAAGTCTGGTTGGCATGAACTGAAGGTCTGTGCTGTATGACTTGGACTCTATCTCACTCATGCACTCTGCAGTACCCTCTCCACCTGTTTGCCTTGCCATTTTCCTCTGATCTATTCAATAGTGCTCACTCACTGCTGCAGTCTCCAGCTCAAACTGTTAACATAGTATCATGCAGCATAGAAGGCCTCTTGGCCTATCATGCCTGTGCTGCTTCTGTGCACTGTTCAACTGCTCACCCTTATCCCTCCCCGTATACATTTCAATTTTCAAGCATTTATCCAATATCCCTTCAAATATTATATCATCTTCCTCGACCATTTCAGGCAATATTTTGAGAGGATTATAGTTTGCGACATTGAAAACCAGTTTCCTCTTCAGAACCTCCTCCCAGATGTTTTCCAGTTATTTTAAATCAGTGTCCTTTGTGTACTTTGCAATGAAATAGTTTCTCCCTAATTACTTTATCCATACTCCTCATGATTTCAAATTACTCTATCAAATCTCCCTTTGACTCTTTGCTCCTTGGAGAATGATCCCAAGATCTCTTGTCTCTCCAAACAACTGAAGTTGGTCAAGTCTAGTGAGACTTTGTACTCTTCAGTGTAAATGTAAAAAATGTAAATCACTTTGACCCCATTGCCATTTGGTTCAAGTGATAGTCCGTCAACAGTAGTATCTAGCAATAGTCGCTGATTCTAAATCGTTCAAACATTTTTTATAGCGCTTCAACATCTCTCTCGCTCTGCAAACCTCACATTGCATCCTGCGAAAAGCTGCTGCTTCATAGCACATTTCCATTTTGCAGGATGAATGGCAAAGTTTGGGACAACAAACGTCTTCGGCTTCACAGCCTGTGGGTGGGAGGAAACAGGAGGTGCCCAAGGCTACTGCAACCTCAAGAGCACCAAAGAAGACCAGTCTGTTTGATGACTACACTGAAGAAGATGACTTATTTGGTGTGACTCAGAAGGAAAGGTGAAAGCAGAAAGAAAGTATTCTAAAAGCACGAGGACCTATAGAAATGAGAGCAGTTGCAGCTTGTAGTGGTATCGTGTTTTTTTACACATGCCGAGAGAGAATTCTTAGAAGGACTGAAACCATAAGGAACCTTGTACAGACCCAGGATTCATCCATAGTTATCTGATCCTGATGGGATGCCATTATGTTTGTCCTCCTTCCCAGTTTAAGGCTACACAGAGGCCATGCTACTGCTAGAGCAAGCTAGGATCTGGCTCAATGGATGGGGCAACACAGTGGCTCAGTGGTTAGCACTGCTGCCTCACAGCACAAGGGACCTGGGTTCAATTCCACCCTCAGGTGACTGTGTGGAGTTTGCACATTCTCCCCGTGTCTGCGTAGGTTTCCTCCGGATGTTCTGGTTTCCTCCCACAGTCCAAAGATGTGCAGGCTAGGTGGATTGGCCATGCTAAATTGCCCATAGTGTTCAGGGATGTGTAGATTAGGTGTGTTATAGGTGGATGGGACTGGGTGGGATGCTCTATGGGTCAGTGTGGACTTGTTGGGCCAAAGGCTGTGTTTCCACACTGTAGGGATTCTATGAAAAATGTATTTGAGAACAAACTTATAGAGGATGACAGAAAAAGTTCGAAGCTCCATTGTGTGAATGGTGTGTAAAGGTATGGTTTACCGTATGTTTAACAACACGTGTTTATATAGTGCCCTTATTGTTGTAAACTATCTCAAGGTACTTAACAGAAGTATTAATATTTTTAATAAGTTCATTCATGAGACGTGGGCGTCACTAGCCAACATTTATTGCCCATCTTAGTTACCCTTGAGAAGATGGTAGTGAGTGACCATCCTTTACTGGTTCACTCCATGTGCTGTAGGTTAACCCATAATTCTATTGGTGAGGGAACTCCCAGCGACAGTGAAGGAATAACAATATATTTCCAAGTCAGGATGTTGAGTGACTTGGAGGCAAACTTGCTGGTGGCGGTGTTCCCATGTATCTGCTGCCCTTGTCTTCCTTAATGGAAGTAGCTATGTGTTTGGAATGTGCTATCTAAGGCTCTTTGGTGAATTGCTGTAGTGCATCTTGTAGATAGTAGCAGCAGTGCGGACTGAGCATCGGTGGTGCAGGGAGTGAATGCTTGTGGATGTGGTCCCAATCAAGTGTAATGTTTTATACTGGATGGTGTCAAGCTTCTTAAGTGTTCTTGGAGCTGCCTGCACCCATCCAGGTAAGTGGGCAGTAGTCCATCACACCTGGCTTGTGGACAGACGTTGGGGAGTTGGCTGGTGAGTTACTCACTGCAGTATGCCTCACATCTGACCTGCTTTAGTAGCCTCTGTTTATGTGGTGAGACCAGTTGAGTTTTTGGTCAATGGTAACGGCTAGAATTTTGATAGTGGGGGGAAGCAGTAATAGGATGAATACACCAGTGAATGTCAAGGGACCATGGTTATATTGTGTTTCATTGGAGGTGGTCATTGCCTGGCATTTGTCACTTATCCAAGCCTGGATATTGTCCAGATCTTTTTGCATTTGAGCATGACTGCTTCAGTATTTGAGGAGCCATGAATAGTGCTGAACATTGTGCAATGATCTCCACTTCTGATATTATGATGGAGAGAGAGGATCATAAATGAAGCAACTGAAGATGGTTGGGTGCAGTGCACTATCCTGAGGAACTTCTGCAGAGCTGAGATGACTGACCTCCAACAACCACAACCATCTTCCTATGTATGACTCCAATCAATGGAGTGTTCTCTCCACCCCACCCCGCCTCCCCGATACTCATTGATTGCAGTTTTGCTAGGGCTCCTTAATGCCAAACTATATCAAATGTGGGCTTGAAAATCAAAGACTGTCAGTCTCACCTCACCTCTGAAATTCACCTCTTTTGTCCATGTTTGAATGAAAGCTGTAATGAGGCCAATAGCCGATTGGCCCTGGCGGAACCAAAACTAGGCTCGCCGAGCAGGTGCTGCTTGATGACCCCTTCCAGTGTTTTCTTGATGATTGCAAGTAGACAGATGAGGTAGTAATTGGCCAGGTTGGATTTGTCTTGCTTTTTGAGTAAAGGATTTACCTGGGCAATTTTCCATCTTGTCGGGTAGATGCCAATATTGTAACTACACTGGAACAACTTGGCTAATGGAGTGTTAAGTTCTGGAGCAAGTCTTCAGTACTATTGCTGGAATATTGTCTGGGTCCATAGTCTTTAGTATTCAGTGCCTCGAACCATTTCTTGATATCACTGGAGTGAATCAAATTGGCTGAACACTGGTATCTGTGATGCTGTGGACCACTGGAGGAGGCTGAGATGATCATTCAGTCAGCACTTCTGGCAGAAGATTGCTTCAGCTTTATCTTTTGCATTGATGTGTTGGGCTCTTCCATCGCGGAGGAGGGGCATATTTCTGGAGCCACCTCTTCCAGTGAAGAAGTTTAATTGTCTTCCACCATTTAAAGTTTTTGAGAAGATTTATAGCTTGGGTTGTGGATGAGGTTGCAGACTTGTTCACCAAGCTAGTGTGTTTGATTGTAGACATTTTGTTACCCTGCTAGGTAACATCACCAGTGCGCCTCCAGTGAAGCTTCGGTGTTCTGTCCCGCTTGTTATTTATATGCCTCAGTTTGCTGGGGTGGTTGGTATTCCTTCTGGTTTTGTTGTTCAGTGGATTGTATTTGGATCCAGTTCAATGTGTTTGTTGATGGAGTTCTGGTTGGAATGCCAGGCTTCCAGGAATTCCCTGACGTGTCTCTGGTGTGTGCTAATATGGATGTGTTGTCACAGTCAAATTCATGTTCTTCTTTGTCAATATGTATTGAGACCAGTGAGAATTGGTCGTGTGTCTTGGTGGCTAGTTGGTGTTTGTGTATCCTTTTATCGCCAGTTTTCTTCCAGTTTGGCCTATGTAATGTTTCTCTCAGTCCTTGCATGGTATTTTGTATATTACATTAGTTTTATTGGTTGTGGATATGGGGTCCTTCACGTTCATGAGTAGCTGTCGCAGGGTGTTTGTTGGTTTGTGGGCTACCTTGATACCTAAGGGTCTGAGTAGTCTTATAGTCATCTCTAATATGTCCCTGATGTACGGTAGGGTGACTAGTGTGTCTGGTCGTGTTGTGTCGCCTTGCTGTGGTCTGTTGCGGAGGTAATGGCGGATTGTGCTTTTTGGGTAGCCATTCCTTTTAAAAATTCCGTATAAGTGCCCCTGTTCTGCTTTGTGCAATTCTGGGTTGCTGCAGTGTATTGTGGCTTGTTTGAATAATGTCCCGATGCAGCTCGGTTTGTGGGTGTTTGGGGTGGTTGCTGGTGTAATTAAGTATCTGGTCCGTATGGGTTGTCTTTCTGTGTACGCTAGTGTGGAGTTCCCCGTTGTTCTCTTGTTCCACCATTATGTCCAGAAAGGGTAGTCGGTTGTGGTTCTCTTCTTCTTTTGTGAATTTTATTCCGATGAGGGTGTTGTTTGTGTTGGTGGGTTTCTTCTAGTCTTGTGTGTTTGATAATCACGAAGGTGTCATCTACATAGCGGACCCAGAGTTTGGGGTTGGATGTAGTGGGCAGCGCTGTCCATTCTAATCTTTGCATTACAGCTTCTGAAATCAGTCCCGATATTGGGGATCCCATTGGTGTTCCATTGATATGTTTAAATATATGGCCATTGAAGGTGAAGTGGATTGTGAGGCGCAGATCCAGCAGTTTCAGGGTGCTGTCCTTGTTGATGCTATCTGTGTCGTAGGGTGCCTGCCTTCCTGATTTGTCCAGTGTGGCAATTGTTTCTTTGGTTGGGTTGATGTTTATGAATGTAAGTAGTGCTGTTATGTCGAAGGATACCATTATCTCGTCCTGTTCTATTCTGGTGTCCTTGATGTTGAGGAACTCTTGGAAGGAAAGGATGGAGTCAGTAGTATTGTCAACTAAGTATTTGTTTCCGTTGTAGTTCTTTGGCTAGTCTACATGTTGGTGTGCCTGGTAGTGAGACAATAGGTCTGAGGGGGACCCCTGGCATGTCTATCTTAGGGAGTCCATAGAAGCAGGGTGTTTTGGATTCCTCACATGCAGGCCAGACTAGGTAAGGATGGCAGATGTCTTCCCCTGACGGCATCAGTAAACCAGAGATTTTTTCCAACAATTGACAATGGTTTCATGGTCATTGGTAGATTCTTAATTCCAGAATTTTTTAATTGAATTCAAATTCGACTATCTGCCATGGCAAGTTATTAGCTGAGTTTCAGGATTAATAATCTAGCTGTAATACCATGAGGCCATTGCCTTTCCTATTAATTAACAAAATTAAACTAAACACCACAATATTAGTACTGATATCTAAAATGCGGTCAGAAAAGTCAGTTTTAAAAAGCATCTTTTAAAGGATAAAAGAGAGGTAGATTTACTTTTGTACAGGAGATGTATCTGATTTATTGTCGTATTTGCTTTGTGGTTTTCTTTCATGTGATCGAGGTGTCACCTGTAGGGCCAGCATTTATTGTTCATCCTTAATTGTCCACAAACTGAATTAATAATCTCAGAAGTGTTATGGTACAGAATGAAGCCATTCAGCCCATTGTGTCTGCACCAGCTCTCTGTCTGAGCGTTATGACTTGGTGCAAGACTCCTGCCTTTTCTCCTCTACCCTTGTGTAATTAATCAGGCAACCCAACTGGAAAAGAACATTGTTTATTGTTGAACCCCAAAATAGAGCCACTACTTATGGCATACATAGGCTATTCCCAGCCTGGGACAGATTGTTCTGCAGACCCGTTCCTGGCCTTTTTTTTTCATATTTTCTAATCAACCTGTTCAGAGATGTTATCGCATGCGTCTGGAGCAGATGGGCCTTGAACCGAGGCATCCTGAGTCTCCTGTATAAAGGTTATTCTAATCCTCATGGGGGAAGCCTTTCTCCCATAGATATTTTGCAATCAATCTGTTCAGAGATGTTATGACACATCTCTAGGACTTGAACCTAGCCTTTCTGCTTCAAAGTCAGGGACAATATCACGGTGGCTCAGTGGTTAGCACTGCAGCCTCACAGCGCCAGGGACCCGGGTTCGATTCCAGCCTCGGGCAACTGTCTGTGTGGAGTTTTCACGTTCTCCCCGTGTCTGCGTTTCCTCTGGATGCTCCGGTTTCCTCCCACGGTCCAAAGATGTGCAGGTTAGGGTGAATTGGCCATGCTAGATTGCCCATAGTGTTCAGGGATGTGTAGATTAGGTGGGTTACAAGGGGACGGGTCTGGGTGGGATGTTCTGAGGTTCGGTGTGGACTTGTTGGGCTGAAGGGCCTGTTTCCCCACTGTAAGGATTCTATGACTTCTAATATCACTACACCACAAGAGCTCATTGGGTCTGCTTATTTTTTTTAAATCTCTTTCTATATCCAGAAGTGCTTATACACACAACTGAAAGGGGTTTTTTCCTCATCACCAAATCACTGCGACTTGTTTTAAACTACTAATCACTGCGAATAAGTCACCCATATAGCCAATGAGACATTTATGTGCAAAGCCCATTAAGGACAATGCAGCCCATCAAAACTGAGAGAGATAGGATGAGTGGGAAGGGGCTAAATCAAAATGTATGAGGTGGGTCTGTTTTTGTTTTTTGCATCCAAAAGTTATCTTTTGGTGGGTCTCCTTTATGATATTTTCTAATCAACCTCTCAACTCTGAAGCAGCTGGGATTTGAAACTGGGCCTCCTGGCTCAGTGGTAGAGGTACTGCCATTACATCACGAGTGCCCTTTGTGCGCTATTTTATTTTTTTCTTATCACCTGAAGTGTTATCTCGCTCAACTGACTGACTTTCCCACCACAAAATTGCAGTGACAAGTTGAAGGCAGACAATCGGGGCTCGTCTGGGACCCCCAGTCATCTCACATCAGTTTCACTCAAGCCCCTAAGGGAGAGTCATACCTCTAGACCACTGGGTCTGCTTTTTAATGGGCTCAGATTGATGGGGTCCAGCTAGGCAGACCATTCCCTTTTGCCAAGAGAACTCTTATTCAATGAGCTGCACATGGAGATTGATTAGTGATTTCCCATTAGCCTTGTAGAAGTTATACCATACCAGTTTCTTTTAATTCTAATGCAGTCTGAGTGCCTTAATTGAATGCATTATCTTCAAACGCAGTACTTTCCAGACCTGAGCCACTCCTTGCATGACAATGTTTTCTTTTTCTTGCATGTTTTGTACTTTTGCAAAACCCTTCAAACTGTGTCCTGTCATTCTCAGTCCTCCTACAAGTAGGTACAGTCCCATCTTCTCCAATCTATTCTGGTAACTGAAGTTTCACACCCTGGAGCCACTTCGGTAAATCTCTTCATGCTCACCAGTGCATTCCCATACTTACTACAGTATGGTGTCCAGTACTGCGCGTACTGCTCTAGCTGAGGCCTGGTAGATATTCACTATACATTCAACATAACCACCTTGCTTTTGTACTCTGCCCCTATTAATAAAACTCAAAATACTGTATCCTTTACGCACTACTCTCTCCACTTGCACCTTCAATGAACTATGGATGTATACAGGGATATCCCTCTGCTCCTGCATACCCTAATGAATTTTGCCCCTTTGCTACTGTTCCATGTTCTTCCTACCAAAATGCTTCACCTCACTTCTCTGCATAGAACTTCTTCTGCAACCAATCTTTCCATACTGCCAACTTGCTGATATCATTTCGGAGTGCTACACTGTCACCTTAACTTTAGTATGCTTACAAGTCTCGTGTTATCTACACACTTTGACATCGTCCCCTGAACCCTAAGATCTAGATTACTAACATATATCAGAAAGATCGGGGCCCCAATACACCCAGCTCCTGGGGAACTCCACTGCAAACCTGCCTTCAGGCCATTGTTCTGTTTACTATTACTCAGCTATTTTTTTGTTCACGCTGCTGCACCTTTTTATTCTGTGAGCTAAACTTTTCTTTTAGGCTTGATGCGTTGCACTGTGTCAGATCCCTTTTGAAAGTCCATGTGCCCCACATCAACAGTGTAATCCTCATCAATGTTTTCTGGTCCATCTTCAAAAAAAAAACTTCACGTTAGTTGAACACAATTTTCCCTTTTTAAAAACTCATACTGGCTCTTTGTAATTGACCTGCCCTTTCTCTTGAAATGGTTGGGCAAGCATAGGACAGTTAAGAATCAACTACATTGCTTTGGAGTTGCCTGTAGACCAGACAAGAGTAGGATGGCAGAACTCCTTCCATAAAGACATCAGTGAACCAGATTAGTTTTCATGATAATTGATGATCGTTGTCATGGTCAACGTTACTGAGACTACCTTTTTACAATCCAGATTTTATTAATTGAATGTGAATTCCACCAGTTGCCATTGTGGGATTTAAACCCCTGACACTAGGGATTAACCTGATCCCCTAGATTGCTCATGCATTGACATGACACCACCATATTCCCCAGGGATTCTGCCCCCAAAATGACTCTTTATCAAGGATGTTAGATTCTCAACTCAGTTAATGCCGGAGATGATAAATTAGGCTTTTCAAAAGTACATCATTGATCTGCCAGGCTACATTCTGAACAAGCACTCTGTCTTTCTGCATTTTGACACATTATCTTAAAGTGTAACATTAAACAAGCCACATGTGTGCAAACTGTATCCACAGACTTCCGGAAATATTGACCTGCGATAGGATGAATTAACCCTTTGTTTGCAAGTATTAAGCATGTAAAAGCTATTCTGCATCCAACCTATTGAGTTGATTTGCCTTTCGCTCCATTTCAGAAACTGGATTTTCTAATATGAGGCATGGGTGTATAATGTTGTGAATGCATAAACATTTTAATATTTAAAGGTGCATAATGTCACTTTCGCAGTCCTCCATTACCCTTAGTTTTAATCTCCTCATTTTGATTTATGTTCTTGAGGTCTGTTGTGGTGAGAAAGAGTAACCTTAGATTTTGAGTGCATTAAATGGTTCTTTTCTTCACTCTTTCATCTGTGGCTGCTGCTGGAAAGACCAGCATTTGTTGCCTGCCTGTAGTTGCCCATTAACTGAGTGGCTTGCTAGGCCATTTCAGAGGCAGTTAAGGGTCATTCATATGGCTGTAGCTTTAAATTTACGCTTAGGCCAGACCAGCTAAGGATGGCAAATGTTTTTTCCCTAAATGGATATTAGTAAGCACAGTTTTTTTTACAACATTGATTTCATGATCACCATTACTAAAACTAACCTTAGTGTCCAGATTAATTAATTGAATTTAAAGTCTACCATCTTCCATGGTTATATTTAAACTCATTTTACCTGGGTCTGTCAATTAGTAGTCCAGTGGCCTTCCTGCTAAGCCATTGTCTCTCAGCATCTCAACCCATTATCATTTGCAAGTTTCTGTATGTTTTCTGTGTGTTGTAATCTCTTTCTTGCCTTTTCTGTCTAGTCAGAAGAAATCCCAGAAAGTGTCCCTTTTGTTTGAAGATGATGATGAAGGTGATTTGTTTGCATCTAAGCCAGCAGCTAACAAACCTGCTCCTTCTCAGGTATTGAGATTGAAGTATTTTATGATGCTGTTAGAAATGCAAAGATGGCTTTGTTACCATTCGCTAACAGTTTTTAAAACAAAAAAAAGCTCACATTTCTTTTTGTGAACTTGAAATATACGGACCATCAGAATCTGAGTGGACCATTAGCCTAGTTTTGAGAGAGCTCATCTCCTCCGTGTAGTTCTTGTAAACCTGTACTTGGCTTCCAGATGAGTGGGGTGACAAATCAACTTAGTGCCAGAAAAGCATTGTCAAGTGCGCACTTGTGAACGTTAGAGAAGAGCAGGAATGGAACCTGTGCTGCCTTCATGATGCCACCATTTCCGCACGCTATAACAGTGACTACATTTTAAAAAGTACTTACTTGACCGGAAAAGGCTTTAGGACATCATGTGGTTGCACAGAAATACAAGTTTTTTTTCCTTGTGTTGAGTAGTCTGCAGTATTGAGTGTTCAGATTTATAAAGAAGAAATGAGCCTTTGGGCATACAGCATCTTCAACAGAATATCAATGTTTCAAGGACCTTTACTAGGGTGTTTTCAAAGACAATCTGTCATGCATGGAGATTTTGGAATAGGTTGCTGTAAGCTTTTGTTATAGACGTGGGCTTTAAGGTGTGACAAAAAGGGGCAGAGGTTTCGGGAGCTATTCTAGAGACCGCTAATGATGCAGGGACAGAAACCAAAGCACGAGGTGAGAATTGAAAAAGTGCAGGGATTTTTGAGTATGGTAAAGCTGGGACAGGTTAGGAATGTGGAGGGATGTGAACAAAGCAATGACGGTTTTAAACAAATTGGGAATCATTGCAGGTCAGTGAACATGATTGGAACTTGATACAATTTAGACCACTGGATGGGGTGGGGATTCCTTCTGCGTACTTGTCTGGACAGTGGTTTCCATGTGGAGCTTGACTTGGCTATTTCACAAGTGTACAAATTAGGAGCAGAAGTATATTGTTCGGCCTGTCAAGCTTGTCTCCACATTCGGTGATTATTTTAATTTCTGTTTTTACAGAAGCCTTCTCCTCCCCAGGGTTCATCTCTCTTTAGCGAAGTTGAGGGCAGTCACTCTGTCGCAGAGTTTGATGGGAAGAGACAAGTGGAACAGGGAGCTGGTGTTAAACCAGTGTCAGTGGGAGCGGCGCACCTATTTGCTGGGATCGATGTTCTTGAACAACAAAGTGATACAAAAGTGGTACGTCAAAGACATCAAAGAATTCATCCTTTCCTGTAAATTGCTTTATTAATGTGGATATGGCTGCTATTTATTGTACAACTGTTAATTGCTTAGCTAAAATGCTAGGATTTTTAATATCTGTCACTTAGGAATACTTTCACCTCTGTCACACAATTTTGAGTCCACTTTGGGACTTCAGCGTCAAAACAAAGCTCACATTCCAGTGCTGTAATCGGAGTGCGGCGCAGTCTGCTGAACTGGCTTTTGGATCAGATAGTAAACCAAAGCCCTGTCTATCCTGTGGCAGCCTCATGAGGAAGAGTATCGCGGGTATCCCCTGAGCTGTGGCCCGTCAATGTCACAAAAATAAAGAATAATCTGATTATTGTCATGTTGCTGTTCGTGGGGTCTAGTGTCTACATTGGTCACCTATTTTCTGTGTTCCAACAATGACTAGTCTTCTAGAGTGCTTAATTGCTTCCAAAGTGCTGTGGGATACCTGGTACTCAGGCACTGTGAAAATGAAGTCAGACTGGAGAAGAATGGTGGGTTTCCTTCCCTGTAGTACATTAATGAACCAGTTTCATTTTTACTGATTGTTCAATGGTTACCTGGGCAACTGTTGCGACAGATGCGTTTCTGCAGAGGCAGGTGTAAATACAAGTGGCCTAGTTGAACTGAGTGTGTGGTAACTTGGTATCATTTGAATGGAAAAGCACATGGGTTTTATTCAATATAACAGTGTGGAGCTGGAGGAACACAACATGCCAGGCAGCATCAGAGGAGTAGGAAAGTTGATGTTTTGGCTTGGGACCCTTCTTCAGAAATGGCTATTTTCAAATAGAAAAGTTTTATTTTATTATTTTATTAGAATCTGCAGACCTGAAACTGCTCGAGTCCCTAGAATCATGTTGCTTGCATTGGGCTGTGACTGAATTTTCAGCATTCTTTATCATGAATGGTTGATTTAGGGGCTAGGAATAGTCAGATGCAGGAAGGAAAGAGACACTGACTGTCTTGCTCAGTGTTAGAGGGCTAAACAGGCTATATTATGAGGGTATATTGCATAGACTCCGTGCAGGCTTTTTATTACAGCTACATGCCTTAAATCCAGCACCCTTGGAACAAGGCCCTGCTGGATTTTGGGTATTAAAGGGGAGGCAATGGCTTAGTGATATTATTGCTGAACTGTTAATCCAGAGACCTGGATAACAGGGTTCGAATCCTGCCATGGCAGATGGTGGAATTTGAATTCAATAAAATATCTGGAATTAAGAATCTAATAATGACCATGAATCCCATTGTTGATTGTCAGGAAAAACCTGCCTGTTTCACTAATGTCTTTTAGTGAAGGAAACTGACATCTTTACTTGGTCTGGCCTACATGTGACTCCAGACCCACAGCAATGTGGCTGACTCTGACTCTGAATGGACAATAAAAACTGCCTAGCCAGCGACATCCTTACCTCATTAATGAATAAAAACAATCTCCAGGTTCTCGTCAAAAGAGCTTCAGGCACTGTGTAGTTTGGGTCAAGCCAGTTGGTTAGGTTCATGGAGCATCGGATAGAATGATGCAAAGCAGGACAGAATTATCCAGTTTGTAAATTTAAAAAAAAAAAAATCACCTCAGTTTGGCATATTACTGAATTAGCCATATAAATACTGTGACTACAAGAGCAGGTCAAAGGCTTGGAATCCTGCAGTGAATAACCTCCCACCTGACTTGCAAACATCTGTTTGCCATCTACAAAGCAAAAGTCAGCAGTGTGATGGTATACTCTCCACTTGCCAGGAAGAATACAGCTCCAACAATATTCTAGCTTGACACAATCCAGGATAAAGCAGCCTGCTTGATTTAGCATCACATCCTCAAGCATCCACTCCCCACCACCAATGCTCATTAGCAACAATTTGCACCATCTAAAAGATGCACTGCAGCAACTCGCAAAAGTTCTTTTGACAGTACCTTCCAAACCCATGAACACTGAAATCTGGAAGGAGAAGGGCAGCAGATACATGGGAACAACACCAGCAAGTTCCCCTCCAAGCCACTCAACATCCTGACTTGGAAACATATCGCCATTCCTTCAGTGTCGCTGGGTCAAAATCATGAAACTCTGTCATGCAGGTAGACCCACAATGTTATTACAGACCGCAGTCGTTCAAGAAGACCTTGAACCACCATCTTAAAGGTAACTGGGAATAGTACTCCCATATCCAATGAATGATTTTAATTTTTCAGGCAATTTTTTTTTGTGTTCAGATTTGAACACTCAGTGCTCAGGTAGCCTAATTTTGAGGTCCTCTAGATTAGAAGATTTAACGGGTGGTACAATTAGGAGTAATCCAATTAAGTCAATAGTGTAGGTGGAGAATAGCTCACTTTCTCTGGATGAGATCAGGACAAGGAGGTAGAAGCTTTAAATTGGAACAATTTCAATGAGTGATGTCATGAATCATATCTTCAAGCAAAGGGAGAAATGAAAATCTGGATCGTTCTTAAGAAAAGCTGTTGTGGAGAGGGGAGTAACTTTTTTTTCCAAACTGAAGTTGATGATTTTTGAGACAAGTAATACGGGTTATAGAACCAAAGCGTTTACATGAAGTTAAATACAAATTAGCCGTGATCTAATTGAACGACAGAACAGGCTCCAAAGACTCGCCAATCAACTTTTCTTAAAATTTAATGGCTGTTAAATTTAAATTTTTGTAATTTATTCAATTGTTTGGAATTTTTTGTAAATGAACATGTTGAATTTTACAGATCTTGCCATCAACAAAAGTTAATGTGTAATATTCACATTGTGTCTTTGTCCTCATGTTTTCAGCTGGACTCTGATACTGTCGTTTCCCAGGAATGTGATGATCCAGCCAGACAGAGTGTTGTTAGTCTGCCGGGCGAATTGCACAGCAATCTGAACTCTGTTGTGAGCCTGTTTGATGGAGAGGAAGATGACAATCTGGAGGATATGCTCAATCAGTGTAGCCTCATTAAAAATGAAAAGGTAAACAGCAGAGTGGAAGTTTTCTTGAGACTAGACGCTTGACAATCAGCCACTTGAATTATTTTCTTCTCCATCAGCTTCCTGAGGCTGGTGTTAGCACCAGAGTGTTCCAGGATGAGGAGTTGCTATTCAGTCAACAACAACAGAAGGACAATGACCCTGATGTCGACCTCTTTGCTGACACTCTAAAGCCAGAGGTTAGTTTTTAAACTCTCAATCAGTGGGATATCTTGGTGATATATCACTTAGAACAGGGGCATTGGCCTTGAAACAGCTGAATGAGCCAGGAATTAAGTCCACTGAGCTCACAGTGAACATCCTTGCAACATGTGGGAATCGAATGTGGTGGGAGTTGTGTGTACTTGACACTCCTGTCACCGCCACCGCACCCGGCAGCATAAATATCAGCTGAGCATCTCGGTGCTTCACATTGTGTGAAAGTTAGTGTGTGGGGACTCCACTGATGTTTCCCCTTGTGCAAAAGACTGAAACTAAAGGACTCATTTTAAGACAGATGCGATTTTATTTCTCTGGGCATCATGAGTCTTTGGGTCACTGCTCCAAAGAGAAGTGGATGTGGGGTCATTGAATATTTCAAAGCAAAGGCTGATAGATTCTCAACTAATAAGGGAGTTGGTCGTTTTGGGACTAGGCAGGAAAGTGCAATTGAGGCCTCAATCAGATCTGCCTTGATCTTATTGAATGATGGAGTAGGCTTGAGGAAGGTTTACTGTGCTCCTTATTTGTGTTTCTATGTTTATTATGGCAGCCTCTAAGCACAATTCACTTATCTGCCTATTTGAGCACGCATCTTTGAAAACCTTCCAGAGTTAACCTGAAACTCTGACTTAAAATCATGTAAAGGAAAGCTCTGTTGATGCCTCCTGACCCTGAAATTCTGTTGCAGGTTAAAAAGCCAGAGAAAAAGCCTCCTGTTAGCCCTCCACCTACAGCACAGGCAGGGCGCCCAGACCTTCCGAGCTGTGATCTTTTCGACGAAACCGACAACCTGTTCAGCACCTCAAAGGTAACAAAAAGCATAGCTGCTGGAAATCTCCGATTTATACACTGGCAGTAGTTGGCCAAGTGAATAAAAATCTGTAATGGGGCAAAAGGTCAAGTGGCTGAGATGGAAACTTCAACAATATTCTTTTCAGTTGTACCCTAACTAGCTACTCCCTTTAATCAACTTTTGAAGTCTGGTGCTTTGCTCTGATGTTAGTCCAAAATGGATAAGCATTATCTAACTTGTGCAGTAGGGATAAAATAAGTTAAATAGCCCTGGGGTTAACCTTCACTGATGGTAGTGTGTGTCACCTGTTAATACACAGCACAGTCCCATCCAGATTCCAGTCTGGTCAGGCTGATGGGAAGAAAACCAGTCTGGGTTGTGGATGACTGAGTAACATTGGGTTATTTCAGTGATGGGTGGAGAGTTTAAAACTATGTATCCTGTTAGTTGAGTTCACTTAAACAACAGTGTTAAAGGCTGCTTGCTTAAATAATTTCTGTAAATCACAAACTTTATTACTAACACTTAACATTTTAATTTCTGTACTAAGCCACGGTCTGCAAAAACACCTTCATCCAAAGGAAGTATTTTTGAAGACGGTGTAGATGAGGATCTCTTCAGGACTGTTCCAAAGAAACCATCTGTGCCACAAACGGTAATTCTTGACGTTTGAAAATGTAATTAAGGAGGATTTTTCTATAAGGCCATCAAGTCCACCCTTACTTGCATAACTGGGCTACCACCTGCACTAATAAACCAAACTGTAACTATACCCTGTGCCTAGAGGAGATAGCAGATAATGTAGGCTATGGAAGGTGATCGAACTGTGCTATTTCATGGGGAAAATGTCCTCCTCTCTTGAGACAATCATGCAAATTTCGAGAGACTGATAGCCCAGCGATTGATCTGTTGGCCTCAGCCAGCCGTGTGGAAAGGTCCAGCGACAGTAAAGGGCACCTGTAATGACTCCCTTTTTTTTCCTTCATTTGAAAGAAGCCAAAGTTTAGGGGAACAGGAATGTCGTTGGGTGCCTCCACTAAAACCAGTGAGCCTCCTAAGGAAACATGTGATGAAGTTCTGAAAAAACAAAGACCAGGGGAGAAGGAAGTAAGGAAGAATTACATTTCTTTAAGTTTTGAGCCTGGATGGAGTATCACTTCTGTTTCCATGTGAAGCAACATAAATGTTTTGCATTAGCTGCTATTCCTGGTGTTGTAGATTTCATGCAGGCAACCATGCAAATTTTAAAAGTAATGTGAGAGAAATAGGAACTCGGAACAGGAGTAGACCATTCGGCTCTTTGAGCCTGCTACACCGTTCGGTATGGACTTGGCCGATCCTTTACCACAAAGCCATATTCCTGCTTTCCCATTGTACTCTTTGCCTTTAATATAAAAAATATCAATTTCTTTCTCTAATGTATTCAGCTACCTGGCTTCCATGGCCTTCCAAGGTAGAGAATTCCACAGGTTAACCACCCTCTGAGTGAAGAAATGTTGTGTTGTCTCAGAGGCAGTGCTTCTGTTGAAATCTGCACTCGTGGGAAATAACCTCGGCCTTTTCTAGGGGCAAGACTGTATTCATAAAGATATTCATATGTAACTATTTAGCGCATTACAGTAGTATTGAACATTTTAATTACTTTACATTTATGACCAGTGTTTAATGTTCACTGCTGAAACTGACTGATCTTTCCTGCTTCTGCCCCATCCCTCCACAGCGACTCACCAACACAGGTCCCATTAAAACAAAAGGGCCTTCCTCTCGGATTGGAAAACTCCAAGTAACTGTTTTGTAATTTTATTTCTCTCTCAATTAATGAAATTCTTCTTTTTCACTTTTTTCACACCTCCTGCTGTTTGCTGTTACGCAACTTTGGAAATTTGCCCTTTGCATGGTGTCCTGTGTTAATGCTGAGCAACATCAAACAGGATGCTCTTCTTGATGCCTTCCATCTGCTGTCACTGTTTGTATCAGCAGCTCACAACTGTCAAGTCGAGGAAAGTTGTGTGTAATGGTTTGCTCAAGGAAGGGAATGATTTGAAATGTCTTCTATGAATTAATCATACTGGTCCACCAACTTCTAGAAAAGAAATTGTACTTATTTCACCATGATCACAGGATTTTTTTTTAAAACAGTGCTTCACAGCCTCTAGTTGCTTTTGAACTTCAGTCACTGGTGTAATATAGAAAAAGCAGCAGCCAAATGCCCAGAGCAACCTCCCATTAACAGCAGTGTGAAACTGACCAGAAAATCTGCATCTGAGCGATTAAATATTGACCACTGCACCGGTGAGAACTCCATTGTCTTCAAAATAGTGCCATGTGATCTTTCACACCCACCCTCTGTTTAATGTCTTATTGGTCAGCAACCACACTGTGGCAGTGCAGTGATCCCTCCGTCCTGAACTGGAAGTCAATGGATTTTTGCACATGAGCCTTGGAGTGGGACTCAAGTCCAGAATATTAAGACTCCGAGGTACCCTCTGAGCCGTGGCTGATGCCCTACAACTGTGCATGTTGGAAATTGTGGGATTTTTAAAAATTTGTGTGGCCCTTTCCAAAGTATTGGGATGTTGTTTTATGTTTGTTCCCATATCTTGCAAAGGATGGTGTGTGGGTATTTGGGTGTTCCAGCCAAGACTGATCTCATTCTCACCAAGGCACTTTGCCCTCCACTATCAGAAAGTGGGTGCACCTGTTGATTTACTCTCCCCTCTTTCTTAGTGCAGAGGCACTAAAACTAATTGCAGCACCTGAACTGGCAATGAAACAAAACCCATCTATCTTGTCACAATTAGGCCTCAGGGCAGGGGCCTCCGAATGTGTTTTAGACTTGGTGCCCTGACCGACTGGAGAGAATGGCGCAGAATCCGGTTAGATATCATCAACTCTGATTCTGTGATTTTCTCGGCCCTTGAGCAGCCATTGGTTAGCATTGATTTATGAGAGGAAACAGGTTATCAGTGAAATGCAGAATCTATGAATAGCAGAGATATTTCGTACATAGTGGATCTGTGACTTGACAGTTTGAGTATTAATGTGCTTCATTTCTGCAGCCTACATTTTTACTATTGTTAATGTTTCATCATCTTATAAAAAGGAGCAGCAAACACTGAATTTTGTAAAATCCTTCCTGGTTCAGCATAGCTGCATGCTTCAGTGTCAGGAGAGCTGTCTTTAAAAGCAGTTTCTTTGAGGAACAGTTGTTGAATATTAAACAACTGTCAAATCTTCTTTGCTTAAAAACTAACAACACTACAAACAACTTCTAGCTGTACAGCTGTAGCAGTATGCACAAAGCTTCTCTTATTTCCACTTACTTGCCTTTCTACTTTGACACTCTTCTGTCATTTCAAGTCCACTAATGTCCCAGGTCCTCTAATTTTTTTTCTCTTCTAGGCAAACCTGGCAATTAACCCAGCCAGTCTCCTACCTGGAGCTTCACCTAAGGTAGCTGTTGTTCCATCTGGGTCAGCAACCCCATCTTCTCCATCTGATTCCTCTTTGAGAGAAACCACACCTTCAGCATCAGGACCAGTTGCAGGCGAGAGCATCACTGCGAGTTTTGATCAACCAGTACAAGTGGACGTTTTGCCCAGTGTTAATAAAGTAAGATGTAGCAAAAGATGGGCATTTTAGTAAAACTTTGATTTGCATTGTAATTTTTAAATTGCCTCCCAATTTAATAGTGAACTTAAATTGTAACTTGATTAAGTGTTGAAGCAGGAACTAAGACATTGTTTTAAATACAATAGTGATCAAAGATTTGTTCAATTGTGTTTGGCAGTTTTCTGAAATAAGCTTAATACTTGAAGCACTTTAAGATAACACTGGACAATGCCTTATAGATAGTAGGAACTGCAGATGCTGGAGAATCTGAGATAACAAGGTGTAGAGCTGGATGAACACAGCAGGCCAAGCAGCATCAGAGGAGCAGGAAGGCTGATGTTTCGGGCCTAGACCCTTCTTCAGAAAAATTTTTCTGTCCCAGCAGCTAACATTGGTTCTTTAACAATTCGATGCATTTGGTAATTAAACCTAAAACAAGGTCATATTTGGTTTGCTGTCTTTAGAACACTTCAGTTCCAGGCAACAGACCTTAGGAAGGATATATTGCCATGGAGACTAGGAAGTCTGCTGTCCTTAACTGGTCTGGCCTCCACATAACTCAACCTACGGCAATGCTGTTGACTCTCAACTGTCCTGCTGAAATGGCTTGAGCAAGCAACTCAGTTCATGGGGCATTTAGGGATGGGCAGTAAGTGCTGACCCAAGTAGTTGTGCCCATGTCCCATGAATGAATAAAATTACAGCACAGATTTACCAGAATTATACCTGAGCTAAAAGGGTTGAATTATGAGGACAGGTTGCAAAGACTAAGCATTTATTCCTTCAAATAGAGAATTGCATTTCTCATGACCACGGGACCTCTCAAATTGCTTTACAGCCAATTAAGCACTTTGAAATTCAGACACAGTTGTAATGTAGCAAAGATGGCAGCCAATTTTCGCACAGTAAGTTCCTAGAAACAGCAATCTAATGATGAACAGCTAATGCTTTTGTAATTTTGGTTTGGGTGTGTGTGTTGGCCAGGATACTGGTTAATCCCCTGCTCTTCAGCATAGTAATCATGTGACCCATAAGAGCGCTGACAGGGCCTCTGTATAATGTTTCATTCAGAGTCATCGCCTCTAACAGTGACAGCAGCCACTCACTTGTACATGACTATCAACCTAGATGTTGATGCGTGATCTGTTTGAAGGGTTGAAGCTGATTTAAGATCAATAGAATGGAGAGAGTTGTGGGAAGTGGAATTGTGTGGGTTGAGAGAATGATGCCACATGGAACCAGCTGAAAAGCTCAGGGTTGTGACCGCTATCTTGCAACACTTTTTCCTTTAGCAACATTTACCTAAGCATATGTCATTTACTTATAGAGCCGTGCAAGAGTCGGGCAGAAACGTCGACCTCCAACCAGGGTGGCACGGAGACTGGCAGCTCAGCAGTTTGACAAGAGAGAAGATTTGGATCAAAGAACTGAAGTTGATGGAGTTCTTTCAGAAGCAAGTGGTATTGCAGACATTTCACCAGTAGTCACCGTTCAAAAACCACATTTGGACAAGACACCGACCTCACTGCAAGCCGGTAATGATGCCAGCCCTTCCTTTGCCAACTCCACAAAACTGCCAGTATGCTCCTCAAGAGATCTCTTCGATTCGAATGATCTGTTCAAACCAAATGTGACACAGGAGCCAACTCCGGCAGTCAGGACAATGGAGGATTTGTTACCCAAGGAGGACCCAGTTCAATCAATCTTCGCACCAAGCGAGGATGACCTTTTTCAATCCAGTAAATGGACTGTGAAGAAACCCAAACCAGTGGCATTTCTTCAAGAGGATGATGATGATCTTTTTGGTGCACCAAAATTAGGGAAAACTAAGCTCACAGGGGCACAGAAGAGTTCAAAAACGCTAGATATCTTTGAGGTAATCTTTTTCCTGATTTGAAAAATATGTGACTAGTGAAATCTTGCGTTCAGCATTATATGATGTTAGACGTGCCAGATGGTGCTCTCTTCATGTTATCTTTTATTACCAGTTTTCTTTCTTTCTTTCCTGAAAAGTGGTAAACCAAGTTGCCCACAAGTCCTGAAGAGCTGGCTCCTGCTTTATTTCAGCCAAGTGTCAATTTTTTTTGTTTAGAATTCTGGATGGCATGCTGCCAGTTCTGTAGGAGCTGAGCTCTGCCCTTTGGTCTTTTCCACAACTTTTCCTTGACCTCCAAATGTGGAGTGTTGAGCAAATGGCTGTGGCTAAACCTAATGATCGTGTACCTGTAACTAGGCTATGTACCCTGGTCGTGGACTGGGATCCATAATAGTTGTGGGAGAGACTCCTTGTAATGTCTTTTAGGATCGAAGGAGTTTGAATATTAAAATCCTGGGTTTCACCAGCCAACTGGTTGGGGTGTGTCTGTGTGTGTGTCTCCTGTAGGTCAGAATGGGTCTGAATGCTTTCCATATTTTGCACGGTGTAGGGGAACTGATTCCAGGTAATGTTGCCTATATTTTTGACAAAGTCTTTCAAATAATTGTCTACTAAAATGATCATTTACCAGGATGATTTGTTTTCCACGGAGTCTGTTACTTTGACCAAGAAAAGTAATGAGGGGAGTGCAAATATCGACCTCTTCAGTGATCACGTAGACATATTCGCCGACTTAAAAGTTGCCCCAAAGGAGAAGAAGAGCCGGAAGAAAGTAGAAACAAAGTCTATATTTGATGATGACATGGGTATGTAAATCCAAAATTGGAAATGGTGAATTCTCACCATACAGCACTCCATCTTTCCTCTTCTTTCTTTTAAACCCTGATCCCTCTGACCCAAGTTTTGGTCACTTGTCCTAGTATCTCCTGGTGTGTTTAGGTGTTATATTTTGGTTAAGAATGCTTCTGAGAAATACCTTAGGATGTCATATTATAGGTGCTATGTGGTACAAAATGACAGCACCACCTCAGGCACAACGAGCCACTAAATCTATGTCAGAGTCATCCAATTAACCCTGGTCCCTGGTTCTTTTCTCCTATGGTGCCTTCAAGTCCAATTCTCTTAATGTTAATACTGAATCCGTTTCCATCATGCTTAAGGTGCAATGTATTCCAGGTTATCATAACTCACTGTGGGAAAGATGCTTCCTCAATGTTGCCCCTAGTTCTTTTATCTATTACCTTGAATCTGCTTTCCTTGGTTACTAACCTTTCTGCCACAGGGAACAGTTTGTCCTAATGTATTCTCAAAACCATTCTTGGCTTTAGGTGCCCCGTAAATCTCCCCTTAACCATCTCTACTCTGAGAGCTCCAAATTCTCCAAATAACTGAATTTCTTCATCGCTGGCTCCAGTCTAGTAAATCTCTTCCGTACCATCTCCAAGATCTTAAGATGTTTCTTCAAGTATAGTGCCCAGGACTAAACACTGTACTCCAACTGAGCCCTAATCTTAAGTCCTTGCTTTTTGAACTCTATTCCTCTAATCATAAAGTTAATTCCACTAGTATTTTCCAATTATTCTATGACATTTCAAGGACTTCTTTTACTGCCCCCACCCTTAAAACTGTCCAACTTATCCTATATTACCTTATCTTAGCCTTTGTAACAAAATGTATCACTTCATATTTCTTTGTTTTAAATTTCATCTGCCATATTTCACCAGTCTGTTTCCTCCATGAAGTCTGTTATTATCCTCTTTGATGTTTGTTGAGATTTTGAGTTTAATATCTGCCAACTTGGAAACTTTTTCTCTAATACCAAAGTCCAAGCCTTTGAGCAATAGTCTAATATTGAAACCTAGGGAACACCAGGAATTCCCTCCCTGATGGCATTGTGTGACAACCTACAACACTTGGACTGCAGCAGTTCAAGAAGGAACTCACCATCACCTTCACAAGGACAAAAAGGGACAGGGAATAAATGTAGGCCAGCCAGCAACATCCGCATCCAGAAATGAATAAAACAAAAACCACTACAGACTTCCCTCCTGTCTGCAAAACAATGGTTCACCACTCTAGAAACATTAAGGTTTTGCAGCTCAGAAGGAGGCATTTTAGCCCATTGTGCTTATTCTGGCTCTTTGAAGAGCTTTTCTAGCTGGTCGTTTCCTCATTGTTTAAAAGTGTTTGCTCTTGAATATTCATATTTCATAGTAACTCTGATGGGAGCAGGATCTGAGTGTACATCATATTCCAACAACCCCATTAATAAATACTGACCCGTGGAAATAGGTTTATTCAATTTATCTTATCAGGACTTTTCGTAATATAAAAGATCTAGGAGATTGACTTTTACCCTTCAAGTAAAATGACCACTTCCTTTGTTCTTCATTGATAACTAAAGTCTCTCGTCTTTACTAGGGGTGGGTAGAACATGTGACATTTAAAAATGAAGCATTTTTTAAAACAAAATTACCTTCATGAATCTCTTCAGCATCTTGATATCCTGCCTAAAGTAACACAAGGTGTCGAGCTGGATCAACACAGCAGGCCAAGGAGCAGGAAGGCTGATGTTTTGGGCCTAGACCCTTCTTCAGAAATTTCTGAAGAAGGGTCTAGGCCCGAAACGTCAGCCTTCCTGCTCCTCTGATGCTGCTTGGCCTGCTGCGTTCATCCAGCTCTACACTTTGTTATCTCAGATTCGCCAGCATCTGCAGTTCCTACTATCTGTAAAGTAACACAAGCCCCTGTGCACGTCTGCCCTGAGTGCAACATCTGGCAGCTGGGAAGAGATTACACTCCACCTTTTTTTTCTTTATTCCTTCATGGGAGGGCAAACATTTACTGCTGACCTGTAATTGTACATGAATTAAGGGGCTTGTTTTCGGAGAGATGTTCAGAAGTACCCACATTGTCACATTCACATCACATATAGACCAGACTGGGTAATGTCAGCAGGATTTCCTCTGTTTTTTATTGCTATTTTTAAACTAGCTTTCAATTCCAGATTCATTAATTGAATGTAAATTCCAGCAGCTGCTGTGGGTGGATTTAAACCCATGTCCCCAAAGGGGCATCCCTTGAGGATTATTAGCCCAGTGACACTACCACAATGCCATCGTTGCCTCCTGTATACAACAGCGATCCATTTGACCTGAGTTTAACTTCTTCCCTGAGGAAAGTTGTGTTTTATTTAAAAAAAAAGGAATGTTAAGGTTGATGAAAGTTCCATGATGCCCATCAAGCCTTCTGCCCCATCATACTCCACTTCCTGTAGTGAGTAAAAATGCAAGAACAAATAATGTCCTGCTGAACACCACCTTAAGGTGGCAGAAGCAGTATCTTGCATTTTCATGTGGAAACTGCATCTTTTAGGCATAGAAAAAGATCATTGGGTCCATAGTCCCATTCGATAGTGTTCTGCTCCCTTACTGTCAGCTTTAATCCCCACTTTCTCTGGCCTTTTGAATCCACACTGGGGGAAGGCAATGGCCTAATGGTATTATCGCTAGACTATTAATCCAGCAACTCAGCTAATGTTATGGGGCCCTGGGTTCAAATCCTGCCATAGCAGATGGTGGTATTTTTGCATTCAATAAAGAATCTAGAATTAAGGCTTTAATGATGACCATGAAACCATTGTCAATTGTCAGGAAAAATCTATCTGGTTCACTAATGTTCTTTGGCAAAGTAAGCTGTTGTCCTTACCTGGTCTCCATAATATGTGTTTTTTGTATTTTTGGGGGACTATTTAAATTACTTGCTGATCATTTGAACCCTAACTAGTTAGTGAGAAGAGTGAGAGTGTTCCCTACCCCTCGGTGCGTCCTTGTATGAATAAATCAAATGTTTCATCCACTTTTAAGTAGCCTTGTTAAGGGGTTGTCTTGTGTTCAGGATATTATTCTTGTTTTTTGTGTCACTGTCTTTGAAAGTCAAGCATGGGGCATGTGTTACAGATCACTGTTTAACATGATTGATTCATTCATTCATTGGCTGTCCCTCTCAGACAAGAATGACTCTTTTCCCCACTCAGGGTGAGTCCATAGGTGGCTGTACAGACTGACGTCCTTACCACAGGCTCTGTTACATTTGGGACAGAAGGTGGTCATGGGAAAGGGGTGGCTAGAGCATTGGTGTGGCAACACAGTTCTTTCGCTATTTTCGCCTGGCTTTCGCTTTTTCCCAACGGCAAGTCTTGAGGTGCCCGTGCCTTCCCAGATGCTGCTCCTCCACTTTGGACAGTCTTGAGACAGTGATTCCCAGGTGTCTGCAAAAATGCTGCACTTTGCCAGTGAAGCCATCGCCAACCTGGTCTGTTTAACATAGTAACACAGTTGGCCAACAGGCGTTGTACTGTTTGAGTGCTCTTTCATTTCTCCTGCATTCGTAGCTTTGCTCCTCAGTAGTAAAGAGCAATAAACTGTGATTTTCTTTTGGCCGTTTGTTTAAATTGCTAATATTTTTCTTATTTCAGATGACATTTTTGCTTCTGCCACGCCCTCATCCAATAGCAAGAAACAATCCAAATCCAAGAGCAGTTCAAAGCAGGCTGCAGTTCCTGTCAGCATACCAGATAGCAAAACTGTGGACATTTTTGATGATCCTCTGAATGCTTTTGGACCATGAGATTTGGTGACAAACATCGTTCATAAAATTATGGGAAGGAGAAAGAGAGAATTTTATTTTTACTATTTGGCACGGGAAGTATTGAGTTGCACTAAATGGAGAAATAATTTGCCAGAATGACACTGTGTTGACACCATTGACAGGCTTGTTTTTTAAATCATAGGCACTACTCACTGCTGATGTGAACTTTGGCGCTAGCCTTGATGAACAATGACAGCTACCTTTACTTTGAAGATTTGATGGTGTGCTTACAGTAGTTCTGAACGCTTCACACTAATTTGCTTTGTGCACTGGACCTGTCATAAGCATTTTTCTTTCTGTCACCTCTGTACAACAGTTCCTTAGTCATTAAATCATGGTATCCTTTAACCAAGCTCTAATCATTCTCAATTTTTATAATAGTGAATTTTTTTCTCAAATCCATTGACCATGGAAAGTTTTTTTTTAATTTGAGCTTTAAACACTTCATCTCATAGAGCTACACATTGGACTTGTTACCTTTCAAATGGTCTTTGTTTGTTGAATTTTTTTTTAATTCACCTGTATAGTTTTGAGATATCAGATTTAAGATTGACCTTGTGAACTACGTTCCATTTTTCTGGAATGGAAACATCAATTAATTCAGTGTAAGATAATGTAAATACTTCTGAAATGAAAGATATGTTTCATAAATATACTTGTTGCAAGCTTACAAAGGCTAATGAATAATAAATGTTATAGAATTTACAAAGATCATTGTGTTGAGTATAGTAAATTGCTGTTTTATCTGTTTACTTCAGGCTGATGTCTTTGGTTATCTGTTCTGTTTTGAATTAAAATTGCTGGAAAATAAATTGCACAGTGAACAAAGCTTTGTGATAAATACGTTGTTGTCCATCATATTGGAATTGTTTGTTAGATCTGTGAAATATATTCCTTGAGTCTTGTAGTTTTTTTTTATATATTAGAGAAACAACTAGCTCCCTCTGCAGGTATAGCTTTCATTGTAAATCTTAGCGTTTAGTTTGAGAGTGAGAAATCTGGTTTGCAAACAATTGGGCTAAACTTAAACAAGGGTAGAGTAGAGTTACTGAAGTGGACTGGGAGAGGTGTTTAACAGAAAAGACAATTGAGGAACAATGGCAGATGTTTAACAAGATAGATCCCATTGGGAAGAAGGATTCTAGGACTGGGAGAAACCAACCATGGGTAACCAAGGAAGTTGAGGATAGTGTGTGGCAAAACTTAGTGGTAAACCAGAAGATTGGAAAAAATTTAAAATTACATTAGCCAAAAAAGTGTACTGAGGGCAAACAAGTAATAGTAAAACACATAGTGAGTACTTTAAGTATGTAAAAAAAGAGAGGCCAAAGTGAACATACACCCCTTCAAGTGAGATTGGGGAAATAATAGGGAACCCGGAAATGGCAGAAGAGTTGAATACTTTGCATCATTGTTCACAGCTGAGGACAATTACTGGTGTTCCAAAAATACTAGATAATAATGAGGGTAAAGATATGAGGTGGGGTGGGGAGATAATTGACAGAACTATCGCTAGAGGAAAAGTACTTGGAACTAATGGGACCAAAGGCCGATTAAGTCTGAGATTTCTTGTTTTCTCCGTGTTCCAGGTTAAAAATCCTGTTTTGTGCAGATCTGAAATAAAAAACAGTGCTTGCTGCAGTGTTCCCGCGAAGCCCAACGCAAGCTGGAGGAACAACACCTCATTTTCCGCTTGGGGACCCTACAGCCCTCTGGACTCAAAATTGAGTTCAATCATTTTAGGGCCTAAACTCTCCCATGTCCTAGCCCCCTACCCCACACACCAGGCCTTGTTACCACTTAGCTTGCTATTACACACCCCCTGTTTTTAGTCACTAACAGTCCCCATTAACAACTGTTCACCCTCCCAGCCTGATCTATAGCAACTCCTTTGTCTGTCCAACTGTCTTTCTCTCTCTTTGGGCTCTATCTTATCGTTTACTCCCTACCCCACTCACCTCCCTATTTTCTGCATATAAACTGATGTTTTCCCAGCCACCATCAGTTCTGAGGAAGGGTCACCGGACCTGAAACGTTAACTCTGTTTTCTCCTCCACAGATGCTGCCAGACCTGCTGAGCTTTTCTAGCAACTTTGTTTTTGTTCCTGATTTACAGCATCCACAGTTCTTTTGGTTTTTATATAAAAAAAAATGTTTGGTAGAATTGGAGTATTGCTGAATGATATTTCGTTGGTGCTTCCTGCTCTTATAATCTGTTGCAACTGATAAAGGCAAGTGTCCCATATGCTGCCTTAACCATCCTATGAACCTGAACTGCCACCTTCAAGGATCTGTGGACAAGCTCCCCAGGATCCCTCTGTCTGAGCTTCATAGTATCCGGTTATTCATTGAATACTCCCTTGTTACTTCTTGCAAAGTGCATCACCTCACATTTATCAGGGTTAAATTCCATCTAACCAATCCGCTTGTATCCTCCAGTAACCACTTTTCTCCTCGCAGTCAACACCTGGCCAATCTTTGTGTCATCTGCAAACTTAGTTGTTGTTCCCCACAAACAACAAGAGGTGCAACACTGATCCCGTGGCACACTACTGCTCGCCAGGCTCCAGTCACACAAACCGCCTTCTACCACCACATCCTGTCTGCTGTCATTAAGCCAGTTTTGGATCCTTCTTGTCAAGTTACCCTGGATCCCATGAGCTCTTACATTCTTTATCAGTTTCCAATGTGGGATCTTGTCAGAAGATCTTACCCTCATCCAACACTTGGTCACCTTCTCAAAACATTCCACCAGATGTGTTGGGCGTAGCTCCCCCGACAAAGCTACCATGATTACCCTTGATCAAATAGAGATTATCCCCTCTTCGAAATGGAGATTAATTTTCCCCTTCGCTATTTTCTTCAGTTTCCTACCAGTGATGTGAGACACACTGGTCAGTAGTTCCAAGACGGAACACCTCCAATATGGTGGTGGAGCAGGACTCTTGAGCCGGAGCTTGTCCGCTCCATTTCTTTCTCCCTTTTTTGCTTTTTGTTCTTTCTCTTTTTGCCTTCCATCCTTAGGCAATATTGGCCATGTCCGTGGTGAATGCCAGCACGGACTGCCGGCCTCAAGGTGAAGCCTGGCAGGGTCTGAGTTGGAAGGACTGTCATTCTGAATTCTGATTCTCCATTTTTCTAATTTATTGCTGGATGTTTTCTTTGTTTTTCTATTTATTTACCCCTAAGAATTTGAACTTGAAAATCTCTTGTACCTAGGTACCTTGGTATCTAAGATGATGCCATAAGTGGCAACTTGTAAACTTTTCACTGTACTTATGTGAGTTCATGTGACCAAGTTAATTCTTGAAGTTCCCTGGTGTATCTCTACCACTCTCCTTGTAAAGTGGAACCACATTAGCTGTCCTCCATTCCTCTGGCACCATACCTGTGGCCAGAGATGACTTAAAACTTTGGATCAGGGCTCGTGTAATTTCCTCCCTCGTCTCCCACAATAACCTCTCCATCTTCTCTCCCACCTATCTGCTCCTCGCACCTCACTGACCAATCACCATCCCACCTACCTTCCCCAGCCCCGCCCTTCCTCACTATTTATTTCCCAGCTCCCTTCCCCCTCCCCCATTTCTGAAGGAGGGTCTAGACCTAAAACATCAGCTTTCCTGCTCCTCTGATGCTGCCTGGCCTGCTGTGTTCCTCCAGCTCCACACTGTTATCGCTGCTAAAGTGGAGAGTTGGCTTAGCAGCCCAGCACAGCCATGATCATACTGAATGGTGGAATGGCTCCATTGGCTGAAAGGAGCAAGTGTGGACCAATTTCTTACGTGTGACCCCACACTGGGCAGCAAGGAGTAACTCTTTGTGAATCACAGCGTAACACATCCTTGTGATTCAATGATAATGGGTGTCTTCTGCACAACAGAAACCCAACAAACAATCTAAGTGTCCTTGACCAATACTTATTGCTTAACCAACTCTAATCAAACCAATTAAATAGCCCGAGATTTTGGTGACAGACAGTTAATTTGTACTTGTATCAATGGTGACCATTATTTAGACAGTGCTCTTATTATAGCAAAGTCTGACATTGAGGGAACAGGAGTGAATGAGGACCATTGGGTGCTGTGTTGCTACATAATTGGGGGTGGGGGTGGGGGAGAGAGGGCCATTGGGTGCCAAAATATTGTGCATTGCTGAGGGGTGGAGGGAAATGAGGCCCTTTGAGTGCAGTATTTTGAGAGATGGCACTGATGCTGATGTTGCTGTATTTTCTGGGAAAGAGTGAGGCCTGTTAGGCTTCATGTTGTATATCAGAGGTAGTGGGGGAGAGATGCCATGATTGCCTTGGTTCTGTGTCTCGGGGAGAGGAAGGTTCCATGTTCCTGTGCATGGTGGAGGGAGGGGAAATAAGACCCATTGGGCTCCATTTTCCTACACATTAGGAAGAACAGAAAGAGGCTCTTTGAGCTCCATGTTCCTGTGCACGAGGTTGAGGGTGTTGGGGTAAGATCCTTCGGGCTCCATGTTCATGCGTATTGACTGGAAATTAAATGTTCAAGAGTATGTGACTTTTCAAAAAGACGGGCATGAAGGGAAGTGTGTAGTATTATTAGGATGAGACGGAACAAGTACAATAGCAATGAAGGATTTAGGATTGGCTAATGTAGCATCTATATGGGTGAAGGTAAGAAATAACAAGGGGAAGATGATACTGGTGGGATGAGTCTATGGACCCGGAACAATAGCTCAGTAGGAGAAAGAATAAATCATGAGATAATGAGGGCATGTAAAAAATGCAGTACATTAATCATGGGTGACTTTAATCCTCATCGAGATTGGGAAATCAAGTTGGCAAAGACAGCCACAAGGAAGAATTCATATATTCAAGACAGTTTCTGGAACAATATATTGTGTATCCAACCAGGGATCAGCTAATCTGGATCTCGTAATGTATAATGAGGCGGGTTTCATAAATGATCTCAGAATAAAAGATCTCTTGGGGAACAGTTGACCATAACATGGTAGAATTTAGCATTCAGTTTAAGAGTGAGAAACTGGTTCTGAGGAAGGGTCACCAGACTCGAAATGTTAACTCTGTCTTTTTCTTCACAGATGCTGCCAGACCTGCTGAGCTTTTCCGGCAACTTTTGTTTTTGTGCCTCTTTTTTTCCATGTCCCATGTGCTGGGTCATTGAGTCTGACTGAGCTGCCTATTGCCATGTGCTGGGTCATTGAGCTGCCTATTGCCATGTGCTGGGTCATTGAGCTGCCTGTTGCCATGTGCTGGGTCATTGAGTCTCACTGAGTTGCCCATTGCCATGTGCTGGGTCAGTGAGTCTCATTGAGCTGCCTATTGCCATGGGCTGGGTCATCGAGTCTCATTGAGCTGCCCATTGCCATGTGCTCAGTCAGTGAGTCTCATTGAGCTGCCCATTGCCATGTGCTGGGTCATTGAGCTGCCCATTGCCATG